GGTCCTCACAGTTTTGTGGCAAGTTCTTGGTCAAGCTCAACAGCTTACTTGTTTTTCTGCTAAACTTCTCTCTCCACCAACCTCCTGAAGCACAGCCTGGCTTCCTCTGATGGTTTTTCTGCCTCCCTTCATCCTCTCCAGCTGGGATAGGGTCTGGCTTTATCCTTTACCCCTCCTGAGGTCTGTTCCCAGGCCGAAGAAGTTGTTTCGGACAACAAAGCGCACACACTGCAGGAGGACATTCCTCTCGTGGCGGACGTCTGGGGCCAGTAACTAAACAGAGTGAAAGAAAATAGAGAAGTTCTTGAGGGCTGAGAACTTTAAATATAAATTTACTCTCTCTCTATTTAAAATCCAGTGAAAGATGCATGTATAATCTCAGATGTCTCCTCACCATCTCAAGTAGAGTGGGACGGCGTGTCTGCGGTGTATCTTGGTGTCCTCCTCTACCACCCCTGCCTCTTCTCCCTCTTCCTCTTCTGCTGTGAGGTGTCTGAAGGGCACAGTCAGGCTGGGGCCCTTTGTGAGTCTCTGTACCCTGTGAAGAGGTTCCCCAGCCCCCAGAGGGTCTTCTGTCCTGGGAGTTTGCTGGTATTGTGTTTAGGAGAGCCTGGTTTTCCCGCAAAAGGTCTTTGGCTCTCTGAATGGGGGTGGCTGAAACACAAGGAAAAGGATAATGGGAACATAAGTGATGGAATATTTAAGTGTCTTTTCCTGTGAGAAGCTATTTCCCAATGTGTATGTTATCTATCAACGTGTCCAAACTTACTCTGTCAAATTAGTGTATCTTGTATATTTTTGAAAGTATGTTGTGAATGTGTATTTTTAACAGAACCCTAAATATAATACAGCCTGTATTGGGTCAAATTTATTTACTTAATTAATTACTTACCTGAAATATAGATAAATACACATGAACAAAAAGTGTCACTGTTGTTATTTATTTAGAGACTGAATATGTTTTTATTTAATTTATAATAATAATTATTTTAAGTTTTTACCCTGTCATAGATATTTATTTATATATTGATTTATATATCGATTGCACTGAATGTCTCTTAACTTGCCAGGTGTTTTTGAATGCAAAATATTATGTACTTTCATAAAAAGGATGATAAAAGGATCTTATTTCAAAATTTATGTCCAGTTTCCAAACTTTTCATGACCTGGACATTATTGAAGAATATTCCCCCTACTTTGTAGGTTTGTAGCTTTGTAAGATTTTTAAGTCCTCCAATGTGGTGATTAATAAAAACATTTAGCAAAGACACTTCTCCACTTACAGCAAAAAGGAGTCAACTTCACAAGTGAAATAAAAGATTTCACACTGATAAATGCAGCCAGTAGTGCCAGAACTAAAATATGGCTGGTGGTGTGCCACTGTTGTTTTAACGTTATATCCCCGATACCGTAGTATGTTAGTATGCTCCCGCTGTTCTGCTGGTTTATGGAGCTTTCAAATGTGCCACTTGTGTTTAACTGCCATTCACCGTGTCTTACTAGAACACGCCATGTGCCACTCATGTTTTATCTCCAATCCAATCTTCAACTGTTGGTGGCATCCTGCTTTAACAAGCGTTATGTTACTGTTCTATTGGCAGATGGTGCAGACGTCCACATACTCTTCCCCACTGGCTTATGATAATTCTGACTGACATATACCACTGCTATGGTAATGGTATTAGTAATAGACAGCATAATCACTGATGTTCCATGGAAATAAACCATTTCTTAAATTAAGAAAAGATATTTTGACTGACTACCTGTTGGCGTTTACTTAGTCAAGGCCAAGCTTTCTAGCCTTACTAGCATAGCTTCCAGAAAGGTTCATTTGTATGTTCATGGCATACGCTCCCAGTTTAAGGGCCTTTTCAGACAGGGACGCTGCGCCTGCAAACTCGCTTGGATCTGCGGGGCCGCACTGTGCTCCTCATGTAAACAGACAGGCAGATAAGTGCTCTTCTTCTTCTTCTTCTATGCACCGTGTTCCTGCAGGTACAGCTGTATTTCTTAGAAGCTATAGAAACATTTTTTAAATATATCTTCTAGAAATTATTGAAAGACGATAATAAAACTACTAACTTTCAAATCAGTTCAGTTAGTAAGTTTACACGTGATGCTAACTAGTTCTCTGTGAGTTAGTTAGGTCTAGTGTTTAGTTCAGATATGGACCGGCGTCAAAGACTGGTGCTCAAGCTGTGTAAAGCTATTTGATTATTTTAAATGAATAAGAGAAAGCAGTGACAGTCATTGTCTGTTTATGTTCCAATAATTGTTAAGGAAACAGTTACATAATTCAGGAAACTCACAAACAGCAAGGATCAGTCTGTTGTCCATTGATGCACTGTGCTTCGCTTAGAAAAAGGTTCAAGAAATTCAACTCTGGCAGCTGGCCGGGGTGTGCATGAGACTAGCACCACAACAGTTTCACGGGTTCACACCCCCTAGTGGTGGCTCCACTGGTCAGATTGCCTGCTCATCCCTACCTGCTTGCCTCTCATTAAAAATATAAAACTACTGGATGGATTGCTATGAAACGACATTCCCATCGGCCTCAGCTATACTTGTGTTTTGTGCTAATAAGCAAATGTTAGCATGCTAACAACCTAAAGTAAGATGATGATTATGGTAAACATTAAAAACTAGCATTGTCACTGTAACAATAATGTGCCAGCGTTAGCCTTTAGCTCAAAGTGCGGTTGTAGACTATTACTAATTGTTAGCAATGGCATATATCAGTTCGAAACATCATATACCGGTGGGGAGTGGTACCCACAGATCGTCCCGATATATGTAGCACCCATGTACATTCTGTTCTGTAGCAGGTGGAGGATGGTGACAAACTTACACTCTGGTCCCTCATCACTTTCACTCTCGCTCATGGAGCCGTAATTAGCCACCAGGGAGCCCAGAGCTGAGCTCATCTGTTTGGGAGCCACAACCAGACCACTAGCCCCAGACTCAGCAGCCGGGTCCTCTCTGTCAGAATCTGGAAACACATGAGAAACATATTGCAATACAAATCAGTTTCCTAAAACACAGGAGTAGTTTGTCCCAGATGTCAGTATGTGACTTTATTTTCAAGGGGTCGTTTACAGTCTTTGAATACTGTGACCCATCACTCACCATGGTCACTGCTGGCCAGCGCTCCCAGTGGATCCCCGTCACTGCAGGGCTGGGTGAGGAATGGTGGTCTCCCTGTAGCGTTGCTGTCTGATGGGTGAGGGCCTCGCTGGTGTCGCCCACGAAACCCTCTGTTACCCCAGCCACGACCTCGTCCTCTGCCTCTCATTCGTCTGTAAATAAAATATTAAAGTCTACATTTAGATCAGATGTCATGTCAAAGCAAATGAGTGCAAATTATTATTGTTCATGGTTGCAACAGAAGGGAAAAGAGGACAGATCTGTGCTAAATACATAATTCACCCAAACTGAGCTGTCTCTAGAACAGCTCCTGTCTCCTCCCGTACTGCCATCACTTTTTGCTTCCTTTCCATATTCTGAAGTGTTGGGTAGTTTCTGGGAAGACACATTAACACTCGAGTTGAACAACAACAATCACTCAGTTTTCTCATTAGAAAAATCTATTTCAAATACAGAAAACCATTGTATAATATCATGGAATGGCTGCCACAGTTTCAACAATCTATTTGTGAATACTGACTTGCGCCTCTCCTCTCTCCATTTTGTAATCTCTTCTGGTGTGTCCAGCTTGATTCTTTTAGCTCCTGGTGCGTGGTTCTACAGACGGGATATAAAAACACTGATATTAGAAAAAGGAAAATACTAGACCTAAGTTCCAGATACGCTGCAAGTTTTTCACTTACATTTTTCCAGTGGATGCTGACTATTTTTTCATGAGCCATGAAGGTGCAGTCGGGCACAGAACACTGGACGAAAGACATTCAATGAAAAATCTGCATACCAATTTCCATAAATGACAGGGAATAAAGCACAATATACTCTATCAAAATACCTCGACATGTTGAGAAATGTGTTCGTCGTATTTGTCCTGGTTTTTGAAGCCTCGGTCACATGTGTCACAAAAGTGGGAATACTCTGGTTCCTTCTTATTTTTCTGCTGTGGGTTATAGACAGATCAGTGTTTGGCTGATCAGTGCACTGCTGTTGTGTGATCATAATTTGAGTGGCAATGTGCTAACAGTTACCTTTTTCCCATGATTGTTGGGGGGCCCATAATTCTGTCTTCCGCCTCGATGTCCTCCTTGATGCCATTCACGACCATAGTTTTGACCTGAAGACAAAGCAAAGTTAGAGGCATAACAGCATCGCACACAAACATCAATACCGCAATCTTTATAACACATATATATACATACATACACACACACACACACAGTAGATCTTTTCTTTCTGACTACTAAAAGAGTCACTCCCCCAATTTCACACACACTAAAATGTCTTCTCTTGTCCACAACCCAAACATATTCTGTTTACTCTCACAGAAACCAGTAAATATTCACATTTGAGAAGTTGGAATCAGATAATTTTAGTTTTGTCTTTAATAAAAAAGGACTCAAAGCGATCTACGACTATCAAAATAGTTGGCAATTAATTTAGTTAAGTTGCAACTAATCGCTTAATCGACTAATCTTTTCAGTACTACTACAAATTTTCTAGATTTGTAACACTGAATAGCGGGAGTATACCTTTAATACTTCCTCACTGTGTTTTTAAACTATTGGTATTGGTAAAGAAAAAGATCATTAGTACTATGGTCTGATGGCTAAGTAGATGCATTAATTCCTTATGTCAGATGGCTCAGCTGGATTACTAAAGCAGTGGTTCTCAAAGTGCATCGGAGGTACTTGAGGGATTTCCAGGGAGTCCCAAACAAAAATGGGAATAATTTATTTTCACTGTAATGTCATCCATAAGTAACATAATGGTAGAATGTGTGACTATTCAAATCCTATCAGATGGGGGTCCATGGTCTAATTTGTGTCAGTTCAGGGGTCCTTGATGCGCTGTATTTGTTGTAGACTGTGAGAACTTTCAAAATATAGCAGGATATAGCTGACACACAAGACTGGTTGTGATTTTGATGGGAGACTAAATTAGAGAAATTATTATTATTATTATTATTATTATTTCAATTAAATTCAAGGAAACAGATATTTATTGGCAATAACGACGTTGTCTTTTGAGTTCAAAACATATCAGAACTGAAAAACAGAAAGCATTTGGTGTCACTGTAACGTTACATGATACAAGTAAATAAGGAGCTCTAACGCTACTCCTGACCAGTGCGTTGCAAATGTTTTGATCGCCATTATTAGATAATTGTGGCTACTCACCGTATGGACGTTTAGGTTCATAGCTTCCACGGCCTGATGGGAAACCAAACCCTGCCGCTGGACCGTGATGCCATCCCGCCTGGCCCCTGTGGTCCCAGCTGGACTCGGAGTGCGTCTCGCCCCAGCTCCACATGCTGGGGTGGAAACCGCTGGAGTGCGGCTGCTGTTGGTACTGGAAGGGCTGGATAGAGCTCGGAGGGGGGCAGCCGAAGTCCGGCGGAGGATAGTGTCCCGGGTCACTCATACTCAACGCCCGAAGTCGAGGTCGACAGAGAAGTGTGTTTGAAGTAATTGTGCGTTTCTCACCATGCAGCTCTCACATGTGCTTGTTTTGCACTACTTCATACGCTTCATACACAAGTTCGTCACTTCCGCATAAGCAGGAAGCACATAATAACTATATATAAAGTTAAAATGTTAACGACAACATCATAATTTAGTTATGACCGTTTTGTGTAAACTGAATAAAATAAAATCTCAGATAAGGCAAAGTTGCATTATCTGAGATTTTATTTCATGTATTCTTTTAATACCGGCATGTTTGCGACAACATCTCGCGAGCTTTAAGATGAAGAGCCTCTTGGGTTGCCAGGTTGAGCAGGGTAAACCGTAGACTGGGTTCACTATAGACTATCTGGGCAAAACATGTGTGTGGGGGGGGGGGGGTAGTGTGGAATTTTTTTTCCACTTTTAGAGAAATGTGGATAAAGTAACATGATGCCTGATAACCACTGAAACAAAGGGCGTCAATTTGTGTTGAAAACTGGACCTAAGGGCTCAGATTAGGCTTGTGATGATACTTAGCTCACAAGACCAGACAATGCACAAGATTGGTGTCATGAGAACGAAAACAAGCAGACATTTTAACACTATTGAAGAAATATTCAATGCTGAAATACATGAGTGGGTCTGGTGGTCCTCCCCCCAAAAGATTTTGAGCATTCAACACTTACTTTCCTGCATCTGGACAAATGATCTGCACCAATTTTTGAAAATGTGTTTTTTTTATGTAAAGGGAAACACAAAATTCAGGTGGCAATTCATAAATACAGAGAAATAAAATGCAGTAATCAGTAGTTTTTTACCTAAAGTTACTTTAACACTTGGACAATGCAAATCTGTTTCTTCTATATATACATTGCCTTGCATGTTTTCTTATTGTGTGAATAACCCTTCCTCAAAGCATTTTCATTTGTTATTTATTATTACTTGTTGCAAGCTGTTTTCAGAACATTTTTAACAAACTATGCTTTCAAAAAGTGAAGGGGACAAAGTCAGCCATTTCAATAAGTGGTGAAACTACATGTCTTTTTTGCCCTGCTTTGCTTTAATAATAATAATAATAATATAATAATACCTTTATTCATATATTGCTTAATAAAACAAAGCACAATGTGCTTCACAAAAGACCCACAGGGCAAGAAAAAGGATATGTAACCCCACCATTAAAGATAATCTACATGAGGAAAAAAAATACAAATAAAAATGGCAATCACAAAAAAGTAAAACAGTTTGACTAGAAAAATAAGACTAGAATAAACAGTAACTTATAAAAATCAAGATCCTGAATCCGAGAGCCTAATATAACATAATCATAAATGTGCAGTGTTAAATTGTTATACCGAAAAGAAAATGTGACATTTCTTACTATTTATGAAACCAAAAGATGTACGGATATATGCGTGTTCAGCTAAAATATGAACAAAACCACATCTGGTATCGGGTGATGTCGATTGGAGGGTCTGGCAACCCAGCAGTTTCCTGGTGCTCTTTCTGCCGCATGTGCTCCAGACAGTAGAGGCTGAAGAGCAGCAGCGTGGTGACTTTGAGGAAAACGTGAAGGCTCTCCCTTTTAGAGAGCTCCTCAAGTCTATAAAATAACAGAGCCGCAGCCAACATGCTTGTGTTATTTGAGACCGCCGCTGGATATGCAATATTTAAAGTATGTATTCATATTTTTGTTTGCTGTCATTTGAAGAATGACAAATTGCGCATTAGCAGCTTGAGTTAGCCACACAGCTAGTTGTTACCGAAAGCCCACGGTGGGTCAGTTGTAGGCAAAGTAACAACAAACAACAAATTAATAAGTAATATTTTATTTTGTACTGAAGTATGTGAATGTGTAAATCTACAATTTTTGCTTGTGCACGAGAGTGTGTGCTAATGCACATGCTAACACAAAGTTAGCAGTCCACTGAAGGCCTTGTAACCACGTGTGCATGTTGAGGAAAACTTCACGTTCATATTGGAAATTAAATAAATGACGACGATGCTGTTATCTGATAAGCACCCAACCTGAATGCAACATATAGGATATTGCCACGTTATCCACACATTTAGAGAGGTTTTACATACCAGTGTTTGTTTTTTCTCGTGCATTGCTTATCGGAACTGTACATTTCTTATATTTCAGGTCCTCGATGAATCCAAGCTTCAGCAGGTCGACAGCCTGTATAAGGAGTTTCAAACCCCTGAAAAAGCAAATAAAATGTAAGGGTTGACGCTCAGCACCTGTTGCTACAGATGCAACCGGCGAGTTGTCATTCATTAATAAATTGTAGTTCATGTAAAGTGGATGAAGTGTCCTTTAATATATATATTTTTGTTTTTGTCCCTGCCAGTGTGAAGCTGAAGCACTTTGAGAAGTTTCAGGACACAACAGAGGCCTTAGCAGGTAGTGACACATGTCTTTGTGCACTAATTATGTATACCTGAGATGTGTGGTCTGTGATGTATTTCTGTGTCTGATTCAAACATGAGGCATCCCACAGTATTCGTCACTACCACTGAGACCACATCTTGTCATGCTGGCATGTAGTTTAGATGCCAGAAAAGGGTAGTTTGGTCCCTTTTAACTTGGCATTTTCATACAGAATTATTCTGTTGAAGTGTATTAAGTTGACTGTTGTCTGGGTCCGCTTATGGTGGTGATTTTAATGAGTGTATTTAATGCCGCGTTCCTAACCCCTGCCTCTCAGCTGCCACTGCGCTGGTTGAGGGGAAAATTGGCAAGAGTTTGAAGAAAGTGCTGAAGAAAGTTGTCGCCAAGGAGGCTCACGAGCAGCTGGCCATCAGTGATGTAAAGCTTGGTGGGATTATTAAAGTGAGTGACCCAACATCTGCATCAGTATTGCTGAACTTTTGCACATTCTCTGTCAAATATCCTGCTTTTTTTTTGTATCATTTTGTATACTTGTAAATTCATCGAATGTGTACCTGGCCATAAACCGGATTAAGAAGCTAAGCGTTATATGCAAGAGTTGTTGTCTCTAACCTCGCTCTGGTTTTCAGGACAAGATGGACCTGAGCTGTGTCCACAGCCCTGCTGTAGCTGAACTCATGAGGTGCATCAGGAGTCAGATGGAGAGCCTCATCACTGGGCTTCCTCCCAGGGAGCTCAGTGCCATGTCTCTGGGGTTGGCTCACAGGTAGGTGGTACATCGTGGATACAGTGTGACATAAACACGGCTGCTGCCTATGATTACACTCGCTGTCTGAAACTTCCTTGTAGATTTTCCTCAGCATTCGTCACTACCACTGAGGCAGCAGTCTCGCTAGTGAGATCAAAAATAGTTTTGCATGTGAAGTAACTCAAATAAATCTTCTTTTTCTCTGTGTTCTCCAGTTTATCCCGGTACAAGCTGAAGTTCAGTCCAGACAAAGTGGACACTATGATCGTGCAAGCCATCTGTAAGTTATTTTCTGATGATGTAAGAATGGTTTAGTGGTAAATTGGGCTGCAGCTAATTGTTTTCCTTACCAATTCATCTGGCGATTATTTCTCAATAATAGTTTATATGTATTAAATTTTAAAATATATTCACTTCATCGAACACTGAGAAAATTGTTAACATTCATAGTTGAGAAGCGGGAAGCTGTAAAATGAAGATTAATTCACTAACATGTTCAGCTGTAGTGATTTCTTTTTTTTTTCTTCTCTACGTCTCTTCAGCTCTTTTGGATGACCTGGATAAGGAGCTTAACAACTACATTATGCGCTGCAGGGAGTGGTATGGCTGGCACTTTCCTGAGCTGGGAAAAGTCATCACAGACAACTTGGCCTACTGCAAAGCTGTCCGCAAAATTGGTAAAAAAAATAAAATAAATAAATCTGCATTTGCACATAAGTACTCTGGTGATTTAGTATTGTACTTCTGTAAACGACTGCAAGAGATGCACTAATAAAGAGTAGTTAAAATTAACTTATCAGAGGCTGAGATATCTTTTAAACTACTGGCGTTTGTAATGCTGGCTTTCTGTTATACATCTGTTGTCTCCAAACCCAAGCTAAGGTAACAATCAATATATATATAGTATTATCTGGGATATTTTCAAGGATTTTAGAAAGCTTATGCACAGCCTGAAAAGATTATAAAACTGTTTTCACAAGTTGATTTTATGGCTTGATTGCTTATTAGTTGCTAAATGTGACTGTGTGTCTCCAGGTGATCGCACAAACGTAGCAGGTTCTGATCTGTCAGACCTCCTCCCTGAGGAAATCGAGGCTGAGGTCAAACTGGCTGCTGAGATCTCCATGGGTACAGAGGTGTCTGAACAGGACATCGGCAACATTAGGCACCTGTGTGATCAGGTATGTGTCTTTGTGTCATCGTTACACATTCAATTCAATATCTAGTTATTCCTGTATTTCACTATTGAATATTGGAAAGCACAAGTGACTGTGGTGATGATGACGACAATTGTCTTTACACTGAAACAAATCATGTGGGTTTTCAGTCACTACCTCATCTGAACAATCACATTACTGCTGAAGGGGCCAAAAAGTAATGAGTTATATTTGATTATTTTCTGGCAGTTGTAAAACAAATCGTATCTCCTTTTCCACAGGTGATAGAGATTTCAGAATACCGCACTCAGCTGTATGACTACCTGAAGAACCGAATGATGGCAATAGCCCCCAACCTGACAGTAATGGTGGGCGAGCTGGTCGGCGCCCGCCTCATTTCACACGCAGGTAAGTCACAGAGAAAGGACTGTGTAAAAACAAGCCAAGCGGTGATGATGATGACATTATGTCACTTACCTGAACATGACTGATGCTGTTAAGTCACTACCTCATCTGAGCTTGCGTGAAAGGGCCGCGATGGGCAGGTACCGGTGAGAGCAACATTTTTACTGGTCTTTCTTTTGCTGCGTTCTTAAGGTTCCCTTCTGAATCTGGCAAAGCATCCGGCCTCCACAGTGCAGATCCTCGGAGCAGAGAAGGCTCTGTTTAGAGCCCTGAAGACCCGCAAAGACACACCAAAGTACGGTCTGATCTATCACGCCTCACTGGTGGGCCAGACGACTGCCAAGAATAAGGGCAAGGTAAGTTTAGAAGGACCTGTAACTGGAGTAGGTAGTGATCATCAGGCTGATGTTTAGAAAATGATCGTGGACTTTGTGATATTTGTGCAGATCTCCAGAATGCTGGCAGCTAAAGCAGCCCTGGCTATTCGCTATGATGCCCTGGGAGAGGACACGAATACAGAAATGGGAGTGGATAACCGTGCCAAGCTGGAGGCAAGGCTGCGCCAGCTGGAGGAGAAGGGAGTAAGTACAACTACAACAAAGATATTTACCCTAAAATTTTTCTTTTATATTGTATATAGAATTGAGAAAGGTGCCACCCAGAAACGTTCCTGGGTGTTCAAACTTGGTCTCAGCTCACAGATTATTTCCGACAGCTCCGGAGGTCTCAGTGACCAGCAGAGTCAGCTAATGATACACACTATACAGTGGGTATGGAAAGTATTCAGACCCCTTTAAATTTTTCACTCTTTGTTTCATTGCAGCCATTTTCCAAAAATCAAAAAAGTTCATTTTATTTCTCAGTAATGTACACTCAGCACCCCATCTTGACAGAAAAAACCAGAAATGTAGAAATTTTTGCAAATTTATTAAAAAAGAAAAACTGAAATATCACATGGTCATAAGTATTCAGACCCTTTGCCGAGACACTCATATTTAACTCAGGTGCTGTCTATTTCTTCTGATCATCCTTGAGATGGTTCTACACCTTCATTTGAGTCCAGCTGTGTTTGATTATACTGATTGGACTTTATTAGGAAAGCAAAATTTAAAGGGGTCTGAATACTTTCCGTACCCACTGTATATGTTTGAAAACATATGATGATGATGATGAGTTGAAAAAAAATATATGGTTCATTGTGCACACACTACTTAAACAACAATGAAAAAAAACATGAATACTATTAAAAGCTCACATGTTATTGTGATTCCTTGTTACAGTAATAAGTGCAATAATTGATAAATTAGCAGAGCTGTAAAAACTGTACAAAGAAAATGTAGACCTGATGAGCTGATTCTTAACTATCTAAACTTTCAAGTAAACATTTTTATAGAAATTTTTTTTAGGTCGACGATTGTTGTGATTTATATTGTTTATACATGTATTTCGTTAACGCATAATAATTTAAAAGGGCCTCCACAGATGTGTATCACTTGTAATGGTTACTATATCCTTCATTAAACCTTAATATTTTTATGAAGAATATCCCACACAGCATATATTGATATTGTCAACATAAATGTAGAGGAAATTTCTTTTATAAAAGCTCCCTTCTGGCATGTTAGTTTTTAAATTTTTAAATTTTAAAGCATGGTTGAGTTGGATGTCATGAGTAATGGGTAACTTTTATTGTGCAGTGCACAACGCTGTGATGATTGATGTCATGCTCACCTTCTGAGTCAGAGTTTGAAGGAGGACATTACTGGTAGACAACATTTTAGAGTAACTTAAGAACAGTTACTTTTAGCATCTAGGCTTTTTTTGTTTGTTTTTTAGTACGAATCTATTCATAGTAATTTACATACCGGCCCAGATCCATTTTCTCCTTTCACTTTGGTGTGCTGGTTTAAATAGGTAAATTTTTATACATCTGTTGTCTGCTATGGGCTTTCTTTCTGCTGCTCAACTGATTTTTGTCTCCACTTTTTTTAATTCTCAGATCCGAAGAATCAGTGGAACAGGCAAAGCAATGGCAAAAGCAGACAAATACCAACACAAGAGGTGAATAAACACAAATGGCTACTTTCCAAAAATGTATATATTTTCACATGTTGATATGATAGATGTTAAATACCCACTTTGACCTCCACAGTGAAGTGAGAATTTACGATCCATCCGGCGATTCTACTATTCCCTCCACCTCAAAGAAGAGGAAGTTTGAGGAGGTAGAGGAGGAAGAGGCTGGTGAAGAGCCCGAAACACCGGTGGTCAAATCCAAGAAGTCCAAAAAGGAACCAGTAGCAGGTGGGTGGATTAGGAATGAACCTAATCTTGTGGCTGTGTCGACAATGGAGTTCATGGTGCTCATTGTGTTTTTTCTGAATGTTCTGTAGAAGAAGCAGGAACGTCAGCAGAAGCGGAGGAGACTCCAAAGAAAAAGAAAAAGAAGAAGGACAAGAAAGTGGAGGCTGAAGCCGAGGAACCAAAGGAGGAGGAAGAAGTAGTAGTAACAGAGGTAGGAATTTATTTGGGAGCTTGATCCCAAGTCTAAAGACTCTTCATGAGAGAAGTTCCCCAGTGCTGGTGTTTGTTGTGCTAACTTGTGTTCTCTTTCCAGTCAACAGAGAAGAAGAAAAAGAAGAAAAAAAAGGTCAAGGAGGAAGATGACTGAAAGAGTGGAGAGTGTATATATTTTCTGTTGTAGTTTTTTGTCATTTTAGTTTTGTGTCATACATGTATTTCTGAGGGCAATACTATATTGAGCGCCAGTTCTGAATATGAAAAGAGTTCATGTCCAAAATCATTGATTTTATATCAGAGTATGGTGTGGTTGGAAATCAGAGTGTATTTCCAGTCATAAAATAAGTGAAAAGTATTCATTTTATTTGTTTTATTTTTTAAGATAGGTTTGTTATCTACTATCCTGGATGGGCAGTTTTTATGTTGATTTTTATTTGTGAACACCTCTGTATCAGACAATTAACAAATTTACCACAGAGCAATGAGTTGATAAGGAAAGATTCCCCAGTTCTCCTGCGGAGGTTTTTTATTGTCAGACTGAATGTCTGCCCTGGTGAAATAAACATTTTTCGCTCTATTGGTCTGGTTTTGTTGAAAGAAAATATATATATATATATATATATATATATATTTTACATTTAACTAAGGGTGACTGATGATGCAAATTTCAGAGAGATACGGTACCCCCCCCCCCTCCTCCATCACCATCTGATACGCTGCTGCCACTGCCAGGGACAAGGGCAGGCTGCAGCGTATCATTCGCTCTGCAGAGAAGGTGATTGACTGCAATCTTGCATCGCCTCCAGGACTCTGAGGCGAGCAGGAAAGACTGCAGCAGCTGACGCCTCCCATCCCGGTCACAAACTGTTTCAGACTCTCCCCTCTGGCAAGAGGCTGCGGTCCATCAGGACCAAAACCTCTCGCCACAAATATTTGTTGTTAATTGTAAGTGGTTGTTGTTCCATTTTTTTATATTGTCAGTTGTATTATTTTTCTCTATTCTTCATATATAACTTGCATTTGTTTATTACATATTTCTACATCTATTTATGTCAGCTGTATGTCTGTCTGGGTGTAGCACCTCAACACCAAAGCAAATTCCTTGTATGTGTAAGAAGGTACTTGGTGTGACCACCTTCCAGGTGAGCAGTACACTCAAAACCTTTGACCTGAGCCGCCTGCTTTTGTGGTTCTTTTTTTAAACAATTTGTCCTCCAGAAGTAAAAAAAAAAAGAAACGGACAAGTTTTGGATGTTCAGTCGTGTGCAAAGTGCCCCCAAGTCTATGCAAGCACAAATTGTTTAAACTTGAAAATACTCACTTCTTATACGGTCTGTCGCGATGGCTTTAAGTATTTCTCCATAAATAACGAGGGGCCTTCAACCACGAAGGGACTCGAACCCTCAATCTTCTGATCCGAAGTCAGACGCCTTGTCCGTTAGGCCACATCTTACAACACTTGGTGATCTGGTCTTGTCAAAGCACTAAGAGTGGCCAGCTTGGGAATCAAACTCAAGATCTTGTAGCTTTTAGCGCCGTGCTAACAGTCACTGGATATCCTGTCATGTGTAAAGTCCTTGTAACTTGGCATAAGAGGGGCAGAATTTGTTTAAATCGGAAAGCTCTCGCTTGTGAGCAGGACAATGCAAACGCCATTCAGCAGCACTGTTCTCCTAATCTGGAATTTTTAATCATAAACTGTAAACCGCTTTACTCCCCCCGTGAGTTTGCTTCATTCATTCTGGTTGGTGCTTACATTCTGCCGCACGCCAACGTGCAGGACGCACAGCGCATGCTGGCCGACCGGATACTGTGTGTGGAGCAGACAAACCCGGACTCCCTTGTTATTGTTCTTGGTGACTTTAACAAAGGAAACCTCTGCCAAGAACTCCCCAAATACAGACAGTTCATTAAGTGTCCAACCAGAGAGGGGAACACTTTGGATCACTGTTACACCACAGTTAGCAGTGCCTATCTCGCCGTTAGACGCGCTCCACTGGGACACTCTGATCATGTCATGGTCCACCTGATTCCTGCTTACAGACAGAAATTAAAACTCTGTAAACCTGTAGTGAGGACATCAAAGAAATGGAGCAGTCAAGCTGTAGAGGATCTTCAGGCATGCTTGGACTGCACTGACTGGGATGTTTTCAGGACTGCTACCAACAATCTGGATGAGTTTACAGAGGCTGTGACATCCTACATCAGCTTCTGTGAGGACAGCTGCATTCCAACACGCAGCAGGGTGAGTTATAACAATGACAGACCCTGGTTCACAGCTAAGCTCAGACAGCTGAGGTTGGAAAAGGAAGAGGCGATTAGGAGTGGAGACCGGGCCAGGTTTAAGGAGTCAAAGTACAGGTTTAGCAAGGCGGTGCGAGATGCTAAACAGCTGTATGCAGAGAGACTACAAGACCAGTCCTCAAGGAATGACTCTGCTTCTGTCTGGAGAGGATTCAGACGGATCAGCAGCTACAAACCTAAATCCCCCCACTCCATGAACGACTCACGCCTTGCCAACGAGTTGAACCAGTTTTACTGTCGCTTTGAAAGACAATGGGACAGACCTGACACCATCCCCCGTCACACCACTGATCGGCCACAGTCCACCATCTCATCCCCCACCTCCTCCCCCTCTCTTACCATCCAAGAGAGGGATGTTAACAGACTGTTCAGGAGGCAGAAACCTCGCAAAGCAGCGGGGCCGGACTCTGTCTCCCCATCCACCCTGAAGCACTGTGCTGATCAGCTGTCTCCGGTGTTTACAGACATTTTTAACACCTCACTGGGTCATGCCATGTGCCAGCCTGCTTCAAAGCCTCCACCATCATCCCTGTCCCCAAAAAACCAAGGACCACGGGACTAAACGACTACAGACCCGTCGCCCTGACCTCTGTGGTGATGAAGTCTTTGGAGCGCCTTGTGTTGTCCCACCTTAAATCCATCATAGACCCACTCCCGGGGCAAGGGCAGGCTGCAGCGTATCATTCGCTCTGCAGAGAAGGTGATTGACTGCAATCTTGCATCGCTTCAGGACCTGCACGCCTCCAGGACTCTGAGGCGAGCAGGAAAGACTGCAGCAGCTGACGCCTCCCATCCCGGTCACAAACTGTTTCAGACTCTCCCCTCTGGCAAGAGGCTGCGGTCCATCAGGACCAAAACCTCTCGCCACAAATATTTGTTGTTAATTGTAAGTGGTTGTTGTTCCATTTTTTTATATTGTCAGTTGTATTATTTTTCTCTATTCTTCATATATAACTTGCATTTGTTTATTACATATTTCTACATCTATTTATGTCAGCTGTATGTCTGTCTGGGTGTAGCACCTCAACACCAAAGCAAATTCCTTGTATGTGTAAGAAGGTACTTGGCAACAAAGCTCCTTCTGATTCTGACGTCGAGTTGTTAAATGGTCACCACTGGCCAGTATGGGGGTTGAACCCATGACCTTGGCGTTATTAGCACCACGCTCTAACCATCTGAGCTAACCGGCCTGCTGTGGGGTGCTTCTTTCTTTCTTTTTGCTAACAAAATTCAATGCATAAAACAACAGGGACAGACTAAAACAGACAATGGCTCCATACTGGATGTTAAGTCATGTGTGACCACCTTCCAGGTGAGCAGTACACTCAAAACCTTTGACCTGAGCCGCCTGCTTTTGTGGTTCTTTTTTTAAACAATTTGTCCTCCAGAAGTAAAAAAAAAAGAAACGGACAAGTTTTGGATGTTCAGTCGTGTGCAAAGTGCCCCCAAGTCTATGCAAGCACAAATTGTTTAAACTTGAAAATACTCACTTCTTATACGGTCTGTCGCGATGGCTTTAAGTATTTCTCCATAAATAATGGAGAATTTGTTTAATTCGGAAAGCTCTCGCTTGTGAGCAGGACAATGCAAACGCCATTCAGCAGCACTGTTCTCCTAATCTGGAATTTTTTATCATAAACTGTAAACCGCTTTACTCCCCCCGTGAGTTTGCTTCATTCATTCTGGTTGGTGCTTACATTCTGCCGCACGCCAACGTGCAGACCCGTCGCCCTGACCTCTGTGGTGATGAAGTCTTTGGAGCGCCTTGTGTTGTCCCACCTTAAATCCATCATAGACCCACTCCCGGGGCAAGGGCAGACTGCAGCGTATCATTCGCTCTGCAGAGAAGGTGATTGACTGCAATCTTGCATCGCTTCAGGACCTGCACGCCTCCAGGACTCTGAGGCGAGCAGGAAAGACTGCAGCAGCTGACGCCTCCCATCCCGGTCACAAACTGTTTCAGACTCTCCCCTCTGGCAAGAGGCTGCGGTCCATCAGGACCAAAACCTCTCGCCACAAATATTTGTTGTTAATTGTAAGTGGTTGTTGTTCCATTTTTTATATTGTCAGTTGTATTATTTTTCTCTATTCTTCATATATAACTTGCATTTGTTTATTACATATTTCTACATCTATTTATGTCAGCTGTATGTCTGTCTGCGTGTAGCACCTCAACACCAAAGCAAATTCCTTGTATGTGTAAGAAGGTACTTGGCAACAAAGCTCCTTCTGATTCTGACGTCGAGTTGTTAAATGGTCACCACTGGCCAGTATGGGGGTTGAACCCATGACCTTGGCGTTATTAGCACCACGCTCTAACCATCTGAGCTAACTGGCCTGCTGTGGGGTGCTTCTTTCTTTCTTTTTGCTAACAAAATTCAATGCATAAAACAACAGGGACAGACTAAAACAGACAATGGCTCCATACTGGATGTTAAGTCATGTGTGACCACCTTCCAGGTGAGCAGTACACTCAAAACCTTTGACCTGAGCCGCCTGCTTTTGTGGTTCTTTTTTTAAACAATTTGTCCTCCAGAAGTAAAAAAAAAAGAAACGGACAAGTTTTGGATGTTCAGTCGTGTGCAAAGTGCCCCCAAGTCTATGCAAGCACAAATTGTTTAAACTTGAAAATACTCACTTCTTATACGGTCTGTCACGATGGCTTTAAGTATTTCTCCATAAATAACGGAGAATTTGTTTAAATCGGAAAGCTCTCGCTTGTGAGCAGGACAATGCAAACGCCATTCAGCAGCACTGTTCTCCTAATCTGGAATTTTTAATCATAAACTGTAAACCGCTTTACTCCCCCGTGAGTTTGCTTCATTCATTCTGGTTGGTGCTTACATTCTGCCGCACGCCAACGTGCAGGACGCACAGCGCATGCTGGCCGACCGGATACTGTGTGTGGAGCAGACAAACCCGGACTCCCTTGTTATTGTTCTTGGTGACTTTAACAAAGGAAACCTCTGCCAAGAACTCCCCAAATACAGACAGTTCATTAAGTGTCCAACCAGAGAGGGGAACACTTTGGATCACTGTTACACCACAGTTAGCAGTGCCTATCTCGCCGTTAGACGCGCTCCACTGGGACACTCTGATCATGTCATGGTCCACCTGATTCCTGCTTACAGACAGAAATTAAAACTCTGTAAACCTGTAGTGAGGACATCAAAGAAATGGAGCAGTCAAGCTGTAGAGGATCTTCAGGCATGCTTGGACTGCACTGACTGGGATGTTTTCAGGACTGCTACCAACAATCTGGATGAGTTTACA